TTAATTCCATACGTGTGTTTCATTTGGCAGATATTGCTTTATTTGCAGTCTTCCTTGATAAGGTACTATACTTTCATCGACTACCAAAATTCGTTCTGGAGTTAATGCAGATTGAAAATTTTTATTCAGTACTTTTTAAACTTTAAACTTTTAGTTCGACTATATCGCAGTCAACCCAGTATACGTATACGTGATTTTGATCGATGTATATTTAACATTTCCCGAGCAAATTTATTTGTTTCAGTGACAATATTCTGTAAAAAATCATCGGTTACAAATAACTTGTAAGCGTTTTGTAAGAATTTTTTATTTCGTTAACGTTAAAATTTAATATAGGCATATCTTGATATTGATTTAACTCACCAGTTTCATTGTCACTCTCATCTATATCATGCCACTCGTTTTCATCATCATTTTACAGATTTTGACACTTTTTCGTTATCAATTTCTGTCTCATTATCATCATCGAATAAATCACTCTCACTTACATCACTGTACGATTCATCTAAAAAAGAACATGGTTTTTGTCGATAACAGAATCGTCCGAATCAAAAGGATCGTCCCGATCATTTTCACTGTCACTATTTGGCAATTCTGTAAGCACATGATCTCTTAAATCAGTTGGACTTTGGCGCGAATTTACAATACTTGGGTTATCTTCGTCATATTTTTTATTTTCAACTGAAGTACTCGGTTCGTTACACTCTACAGTTTTTTTTGTTTGTATCAGCTGTTTGAGCTAAAAACAAAATCTTTTTAACGTGAGACGACATTTTTAGACTAGTAAAACCTCGTAAAACACGGACGTAAATACACCTGCTATTGAAATACAAACGACACTAAATGTCGATTGACTGCGCAAGCCTGCAGATATATAAATATGCACCGGTCTCGCAAGACCGGTCTCGCACCTGAGTAATAAATTTGTAATCTCTGTGCGTTACCGGCCCCCAAAGCCTGGTACATTTTTTTTTTAAAAATGTTTAGAATCTTAAGAAAGTATAATGCTGTTTTTAGCATTTAAAACAAACTAATATTAACGAAGATATGCCTTTCGCAATTTTTTAAAAGTTAAAAGCAGTTTTCACACGCCGCACTTTAATAATAACGAACACCGGTCCCAGGGGACCGGTAACGCAGTTAAACTGTTAAATAGGTATTCATTTTGTTAATTTGTTTTGTATTGTGAGGTAACACACAAGATTAAGTTGAACTAAGACCATTTGCAATATAGATTCCATCTTATTTTCGCTGTAATTTAACAAATTATCTTGGAGATATATGATAATAAAAAAAACACTACCTTCAATGTAAGGGGTTATTCGATGTTATTTTTTTACAAGATTCTTAGTGGCTACAGTTGAAAGAATGACAAATGTGACAACTGGTCAAACCGAACAACATTTTGATTGTTTCTTTTTATATCATGGGGTTAAACGATATCCTGTCTGAATTTGGGATACAATTAACCACATAGTACTTGAGTTTTCCCTAATTATTACACTAACGCTATTTATGTAATGTAATAAATCATAACCACGATACCATACACTTTTTTGTTCCTATTCCTAGAATGTCAATTAAAATTCTTTGAATTTTCTTAATCAGATGATCTGACTTCCTATCATTTATCGAAAATTTCATGTTCTTGTCATTACTGTAGAACATAATCATTACTTCATACCACTTAGTCATTACTGTATAATTTTTAAATCAAAATATTCCCAAAACGGTACCCAGTATTGGGTTTTAACAGGGGACCTTTTTGGTGTAAACTTGTATGATGTTTAAGTACACTTGGAATTTTGATTAATAATTTTACCCTTAAAAAAGTTATGTTAAATAATACTTGATATAAACCTTGTAACTATCGTCCTTTATGAGAGTTAGATATAAAAACAAATGTATCAGCTTCCAAAACATATTCGTATAAAATTTCATTACAAATTTGCCAGTAGTTTCGGCAAAATCGTAAAAAAAAATATGTAACATTTTTTTTTCTTCGACGTCCTGTATGTTGAAAAGTATTCAGGGCGTTTTCACCAAGCAAACGTCAAATATTGTTTAGTTTTTTACCCGTCTTAGAGACGGTGTTATCTTTTTTAAAATACCCTGTATACGAAAAAAGAACAACAACCGTAAACCTTGGCTGCATGAAGATAAAAATTGGCAGATGTGGTAAACAGATACTTGGTTCCGAAAATTATTTATAACAGTCATAGAGTAAGTATTTTAACGATTATAGTGAGACTTAAAGAGCTTTAACATCAAGTAAATAATTTTTGATATACCGGTGATCTCGCTCTCATAAAAGTCAACTAAGGAAAAGTCAAAATTGTGCCACAACAACTACAGTAAGAAACGGAGTCTATATAAGATTACACTAGGGGAAAACATGACCTAGAGCCAGGTTTGTGTATTTAGGCCACGAAATAAGATCATAGTGAGAAAAAGCGACATATTAGCCAATCATAAAATTAAGTTTAGGTTAGTCTGCATTTGGAAAAATGAGAGGCGTGCTTAAAGCCAATGTACTGCTCCATTTCAAAAGAGAAGCTTTCAACCTGTATGTTCTACCACTCTTCAAATACGGAGCAGAAATTTCTCTCAAAAAAAAAATGAGCTGAAAAATTGAGGACACAACCAAATAAAAAGATATCGCGTGAAAGACAATATAATATAATTATATATAATACAATGTATGTATTACAATTATTACATGTATTAAAATGTATTACAAGGATATGTATTACAAGACAATGTAGCAATAGGTCCGTGGGCCAGTGATCCAGCCATAGCTCTGGACTATTTGCCAAGTGTTTCGTGATCCTTAGGCCTGTATCGATGTATATGCCTAGGTATTTTGCACAGTTTGTAGGCATTATAATAGTACTACCAATTTGAAAAGACCTCTCGGGTCTTCGTCGTGGTCCTTTTAGTATGACCACTTCCGTTCTGCTTCCTGCTAGTTCGAGATCGTTTCTAGCCATCCTGCTGTTGACTTTTCTGCAGCATATGTTGACTTTAACTTCGATTTTCCAGTTTATGTTAGTCATGACTAGTATCGCCAGGTCATTTGCATATGCATTAGCTAGAGTATCTCTACATAGTCAATTTCTAGTACCCTGTTAAATAATATATTCCAAAGTGTCGGACCTAATAGGGAACCTTGCTGTACGCCGGCTGTTAAATGCTGTTCTGTATTTTTTGCCACTGTAACGTATCTATTACTAACATACTGGAGACGGTGATTAGTGACAGATCTTAACACGGTGAAACGACGACCTTAAAAAAATTTCTACCAATGGAATTGCTACCACAGAGGAGACCAGAAGTAAATGGAAATATCTAGAAAAGGTCTATATCACCAATCATCAGGGCTGATTGGTGATAATTATAATATACGCAATACGTATGCAAACATTATATTTTTTTATAAGTAATGAATTTGACCGTTACTTAATGGAAATTCATTTTATATAACAATAAAATACTGAAAACTTTGTTTTTAAAACTTCCATAAAATTCATTGAAATATCTTATCACTACAGCTGTTTAGAGTGTATACTTTATAGTCTTTAACTGAATAGGTTGAGTAAGGAAGAACTGTTTGTCTCAAGTTGGTCATTATGGCTATATTTTTTAAATCGCTAATTTCCATAGATTCTAATAAAGATAGCTTAAGGCCTTTATTTTGGATGTGAGGATTTGAAATTCATCATTAAAAAAATTATTGTGGTCTAGAAAGTGAAGTGAGTATGAAGAATATATTTTTAGTTATTAAAAGCCCTTTTATGTTCTGCTGTTCGTTTGTTAAAAGTTCTACCAGTTTGATCTATCCAAAAATTTACACAGATCAAACTGGTAGAACTGTGTAGGTGCTTTTTATTTTGGCTCTTGTTGTTTTAAATATATTTTATATTTTGCCTGTATATGTAAACGAGCAGAAGGTAATGGGTCTTTTTTTCTGGTGGTGGAAATACTATTTCAGGGCGTTTTTGTGTAGTTTTTGATTTAAAATTGTATCAATTGTTTATTCGTTGTACACATTGTTTACTGCTATTTGCTTAATGATATTTAATTATATCTCAAAGTTTTATTTTGACGTTGGAATTTCTATTTCATGTAATATATGTATCATGCTATGGTAAGCTGCCAATTTATGTTGTGTGGGATAAGATGATGAATTGTGCATAGTCGTGTCAGTATGGATAGGTTAATGAAATACGAAGAACTCATGTTTGTTTTTAACTCTGATAATTTTTAAATCTAAAAAAATATGGACTGATTTTGTTCTGTTTCCATTTTAAATTCAATATAACTATGGAATAAATTAATATATGATAAAAATTGGTCAAGTTGTAAGTTAGTTACTGTAAAACATACCAGTACGTCGTCTGCGTATCTCCACCAATATAAAAACTGTTTGAATACGGGATGTTTTGAAATCTTTGTCTCTAGATGATCCATAAAAATAACTGATAGCAATGAGCCTAGAGGATTACCCATTATAAGTCCTGCACTGTTATTTTCATATATTTGATTACTAAGTTCAAGGTATTCCTGATTCATACAAATTTCAAGAAGACGTAAAAGTTTAGATGTAATGATTCGATTTGTAATATTACGGTCTAAAAGTTTTTTTACTGTTTAAAAGTTTCTGTTGGAGGAATACTAGGAAAAAGATTTTTTACGTCAAATGAAATTAATGTAGAGTTGTAACGTAATAAAATGTTGTATTTTATTAACTAGTTCTTTTGTATTTTAATGGTAGATTTTAATACATTTTGTGCAAAATAAAAGAAAACAAAAGGAACAAGGAATTTACTACATATAAGTTTGACTGCATAGATAATGGCAGTGTATAATTAAAAATATTATCTTGATAATCCTCCCTTCTTAGTATATATCGTAGAATACATAGTTAATCATGACAAGTCTACTATTTTTTGATTATAACAATGAACTTCAAAATACGCAATTAATATTTTGCAAACAAAGCTAAAACGAGATTTAATGCTATTTTTAATTTTTACAATAAAAATAGTTAGTTAGGTTTAATACCAGTTACCTGAACAGACATGTTAATTTCCCGTAAATAGTGCGATATTAAAAAACATACAATTTAACCAGGACTATATTTTTTTATCAAAGGTTAGTCTATATTTTCGTTTCTTAAGATTTTTAAATTATATCTTTTGATTTATGGAATATGTCAACTATACATTGTAATCAAATAATTGTAATTTTTAAATTTTATTATAAGTATTGTTAATTTCCAATGCTAGAATGTATAATTTTGGATGATTGAATTATTATGGATCAAAATACATACCTACATTTAACTGAAAAAGAAGTTTATTTTCCCAGAAAAGGATAAGAAAATGTTGTGTATACGAAACATTAGGATTACACCAGTATATTATATTTTAATTTTATTTTTTAATTTCCTGTGATATTCACACATGTTTGCGAGTGATCACGTTGCACCGCTCTGTATATTATTATTAATATTGTATAATCTAATACTTGCTGCATTAATAAATGCGCCTCATTTGTTTATGAAACTTGAATCTATAATATTTAATGATAAAGTAAAGTTATTCCTATTAATATTTAAATTTAAAAGTGAAGAAAAATGGATGTTGTTTATAGAAGACTTAATCACTTCTGTATTTTGTTTAACTTAAATGCGCAATAAAACAAGTATGCAAATATATTGTGGTGGATGTTAAAAGATGTAGTGGCGTCATCGATTTTTTTTATAACATGGTAGCCTATGACTTCTTAATATCTTCTTCTTCTTGCAGTACCCTATCCTTATTGGAAGTTGACGATCACTTTAGATCACAAAGCTTTATTCAGGTATTTTTGTTAATAATTCCTACGAAGGTTTTTTGGTCAGCTGTCTTAAATTCTTAATTCATAAAACGTGTTGTTCACCTGTTTGAGCTATTTCTTTAACTTGGTTCCAATTTTACCTGAAAAATAGGAAACAACTGGTTAGAGCGAACAATATTGACTCTAGTCACAAAAAGATTGTATGTAAAGTACTACAAGGTTCAGTACAAGAATGCTTTTTCCTATTTTTATAAATGACATCACTCATTTAAAAATCGATTAGCAGCCAGACCGGTAACGTTTATTTTGTAGAATTTCTTGGTATTTTGATAGACAACAACCTTTAATTGTCGCTTTATATCGTTGTATTAAGTAAGCAACTAGCATCAACCTCAAATGCAATAATACCTGTTTCGAATGAAATAAATTTATCATCTTCTAAAATAATATATTTTTTTATGTTCATGTCTGATCTTCGCTATGGTATTCCTTTTTGGGGTTCTAGTACAGCTGTCCAGTCTAATGTTATTTTTACATTACAAAAAATAGCGGCACAGTATCTGTTAGACCTTAGAAGAACAACTTATTACAGAAGCTACTTCAGAAATCACGGGATTTTAACGCTCCTCTTTATAAGTTTTAGAAACTGTTTGCTTGATTTGTAAATACCTACATATTTTTCTATTAAGATATAATGGTAAATATTTCACCATTTAGTTTTTGATATTTATTTACAAATCCCATCCACTGTGTTAGTAAAGAAATCTATATTATATATGGCAAAAAGCTATAACAACCATCTCCCTTTACAACCTAAATTTGCAACATCTTTCTCCAAGTTCCGTGAACTGACAAAAGTCTATCTATCTGAAGGACCATATTATTCAGCGGAGAGTTTTTTAACAAATAACTAAAAACTTACATTACCTTTATGTACTAGTAACTGAAGGATGTTGTAATGTTATAAACGTCACATCTCTATTAATTTATATTTAAATAACTATTTTATTTTAATTTCTTTATTAATTTCTTATTTATTAATATCTTCAGTTTAATTTTACAATTTTTATTTAAAAATAGTTGGCGCCCTCTATATTTCTTCCCCTGTTTTCATTTCTTCCTCGGTCTGTAATTACTCTCTCTTTCTGTCCCGTAGAATAAATATTCGCCCTCTTTTTTTCTGTCCGACAGATCGTTCTGTTCCGTGTTGACAGACAAGATAGTTTCTTGATATGTATAGGAACATCCTATGACATCTGTCCTGTGCTAACTTCATTTAGTTTCCCACTTTCTGTCAAAACAACTTTTAACGTGGTGGAATTATTTTTTTGGCACCATGTGTAACGTTATAAACGTCACATCTCTATTAATTTATATTTAAATAATCATTTCATTTTAATTTCTTTATTAATTTATTAATTTCTTTATCTTCAGTTTAATTTTGTTATTTGTAATGGATTGTTTATTTTAATATGATTCATTTTGTAATATTGACTAATCATGTAATTATTTTCGTTAATTCTATTGCTATTGGTATTTTCTGACCTTTTTGTAAGCCTTGTCCATAAAATTGTACAATTTTCAGTCAAAATAAAACATATTTATATTTTATTTTATTCTAGCTTCAAAAAGTCGTTGCAAAAAATTCGAAATAGTTGTCCTTCAAAAGCCTTTAAATACAAGTATTCTCGCTGGTTTCATTTAAAACCAGGAGGTTCTTCTTCTTCTTCATGTACCATGTCCTTTCAGAACGTTGGTTACCATCATAGCTATCTTAATTTTATTCACTACCACCCTAAATAGCATGCTTGTATTAACACCATATAAATCTCACTATAAAGTTCTTTAACCATGAGGTTCTTCTTCGTCCTGGACTGCGTTTGCCTGCTATTTTCCTTGCATGGTATTTTTGTAGCAACCTATATTTGGGACCTCTCATTACATGTCCGAAATACTCCAGCTTTCTCTGCTTGATTTTTTTTATTATCTCAGTAGTCTTGCTGAGACGTTCTAGTATTGTGGAGTTTCGAATCTTCTCCAACAAGGAAACTTTTAGAATTCTTCTATATCACCCCATTTAGAAAGCCTCATGGCGATTTATATCAATTTTATTTACAGTCCAGGACTCGACATCATAAAGTAAGACCGAGAACACGTAGCAGTAAGCGGACCCTCAATGCTAATTTTAGGTCTCTGTTACATAACACCTTGGAGATCCTTCTAAAAGCAGCTCTAGCCTGCTATATCGTAGATCTAATTTCGTCGTGACTTTCTGCGTTACAATTTAATTGCTGTCCAAAGTAAACGATTTTATCAACTTACTCAAGTTTAGTATTATTTACATATATAGACGGTTTTATATGCTGTTGTTGCAATTGCAAATCCAACCAGGAGGTTGGTTTTCTTTAATTTTTTGAATAACATGCGTTAATTATCTGTTGTGATACGTAGACCTATGCCTTCTATCATTTTTTCTTCTTGATTTACTATGAATTCATTGTACAGATACTCAATTTATATTCTCCAGTTTTCAATTTTCGCGTCTGTCTACCATATTGCCTTGCATTGACTGTCACTACTGTCAGTTATAATAATTGGTATTGTCTTGTTCTTTACTACTTAAAATAATGGGCAACGAATTAATAGCAATAATTACAAAGATATGTAAAAACATATACAGCTCTGGAGAAATACCAACAGAATGGCTGAAATCTGAGTTTATTGCACTTACAAAAAAAACAGGAGCCGCAAAAGGCAAAAATTACCGTCCTATAAGCCTCATGAGTAATCTCCTAAAATTATTCCCAAAGATAATTAATAAGAGAATCTACAAGCTGTGTGAAAGTCAAATTTCGCCCAACCAGTTTGGATTCACTAAGCTGTCTTATTCCAGAGATGCAGAGACGTCAACTGCGACGTATACGCATTTCTGGTTGATTACCACAAACCATTTGATCGAGTACAGCATGCCAAAATGATGCAAATACTAAAAGAAGTAGGAATTAACAACCAAGATCTGAAAATAATTAGAAGTCTTTACTGGAATCAAACAGTAAATCTTAGAGTTCTTGATACAAAAATAAGAATGCTGCCATACTATGTCTTCTCTGTCCTTTTTTATGGTGTTGAATCGTGGACCTTAAACGAAGATATGTGCAGAAAACTGGAAGCATTTAAGATGTGGCTTATAGATATCGGAAAATACTTAAGATATCGTGGACTGACCGAGTCACAAATGGGGAGGTCCTCAGAAGAATAAATAAGAACCGAGAGATACTGTCCACCATTAAATCTCGAAAGTTACAATTCTTCAGACATATTATGCGAAATGAATCCAGATATGCTCTCCTTCAAGCCATCCTGCAAGAAAAAATATTTGGAAAGCGATGTCCAGGAAGAAGAAGAACATCTTGGTTAAAGAACCTCAGAATCTGGTTCAATAAAACATCTGTGCAGCTTTTCCGCGCTGCTACAAATAAGATAAAGATTGCCATGATGATCGCCAGCATTCCTATGCTTTGATTTGTGTCTACTGCTTATCTGCCAGTTTTCTTAATTGTCACTAATAAGGGTTAAAACGTTTTGTTTCTATTCCTGGACTTTAATATCTTGTCTGTCTTCTACTATGACCATCGCATTTGATATCTCTTTGTTCATGTTTATAACTATAATAATTATTGGGTATGACTACGCATATATACTGTTTCATTTTTCTGTTTTGTCAAGTTTGGAAACAATCCATACTATTTTTTTGGTTTATGGTGTTCCTTATTTGATAGATCTCTCATTCTTAAGATGAACTAGAACTTTTGATTTTGAGAATTTGATATACCTTATACATTGGATCACATACGTCAACAACGAGAGCTAACCTTTTCCACGTAACGTTAGTTGTTGAATGTTAGATTAAATTTCAAACCAGTCTGGTACTCCAATGGTTAATTTTTAAAATTTACATTATTTATTACTATCAGTGTTAAAAGATACGTTTTTTATGTATAGAATAGCCTTAATGTTAATCAATTTTATCTATTTCTTCAATGTAATTACTGCTTTACTTAGTAACTTAAATAATTACCAATTCAATATTGTATTTAAATTGTTATGTTTGTGTTCTCACAGCTTTAATTTAGATTTGTTTTGAAGAAACAGAAATTCTGTTATGTAGATACATATTTATTCCAATTATTAGCGATCTAGTAAAATTTTTCAAATGACTATGGAAATTTTCTTGTAGTCAATTAGTTTTCTCTTAATAATAAATAACATTGTATGAAAGCATTGAAGATTTTTTTATGACTGAAAATGGAATA